GTCCGCTGTTTCAGTTGGTCCTCCAGATGGGTATCAGTCATTTGTGACCTTACTGGCGTCTCTATTTGGGTCAGGTAGGAGAATGTAGATTCATAGCAGTAAGTGCTTGGAAAGCAAGAAAGCATTTTTCAGGCATGTTGCCGAAGGCGTGGGTATTTTACTTCACTTTTCCATATTCTATTGGATCTTTCTTAACATCAAGAAAGTCAAGATCACTTTAAAATGTCATCTACTGAGAGCCGAATCAGTTCCATCTGTAGTTGTTTAGGTATCTTGGTGATATTAGCTAGGTGAGGATGGAAAGCTAACTTGACTGTGATATCATGATTCTCAAAGTCAGTGAACTTTTCATTGTATTCTACAATTAATAGGTCTATAACAGCTGTGTATTCTTCAAATGATTCACATATATCATCCTGCTCATCAGTGACCTTTGCTAACTGGGGAAAAGGTTCATCTGAAATTTCCTTTTGAAGAATTGTTTTGAAAAAAGATCACTTTTTTCGAAATGCATGAATTTTTCCACATATGATATATAGACTCAGTTTTACCTTGCGAAGAAATATTCACATCGTTTTGATTTGACACGATATCACACAGAAACACTGCATACCTATAGGAATCTTCTTTCGATAGTTCACATTGCTGATTCTGTTCTTCATAAAATTTAACTATCTGATCTTGCAGAGACAAGATTTTGGCTAACACCTGTCCCTGCAATAGCCAATGCACTTTAGAATGATATGGCAAATCCACACTGAATACCTCATCATTCAACTTTAGCATGTTACAAAACTGACGATGCTGTGTTACATTTGCACAAATATAGTTAACAATACTTATAACTTGTTGCAAAGTGTCACTTAAAATAGTAGCTTTAGCACAGAGATTTTGCTGGTGCGAGACACAATGAAAAGAAATGAGAGCATCTGGATCTGTTAATACTTTTTTTTATCTGTGCAATAAACCCTTCATGTTTTCCTATTGTGAAAGATGGACTTGCTCAATTTACCAAATTCAGTCCAAACTTCACATTGATCTTGAAAGTTGAAGATAATCTCTTCCCCGTGTTCTGTTCGCAAGAGTGCCCAAAGTGAGTAACTCTTCGTCGTAGCAAAGGAAATCTTCTGTTATGACCCAAATGAAGTATAAAACCTGCACAGAATCAGTAGTATCAGTTGATTCATCTAAAGTGATTGAGGAATATATATTTTCCTTTTGAAGTATTGCATGAAGTTCTGTTAAGTTGAAGGTTAGTTCATGCTTCCGATCAGTTATGATTCTCCTTGAAAGAGGCAGTTGTTTGTACTTTGAAACATTATCAGAGGTCTAAGCATCCTACAACTTCGACAATGCATTTTTTTGCAATTTCTACATCACTGAATGACTTCCCTTTTTTCCCAAGTATACAAGCTACTTTATAAGTTGCTTCAGTGGCATTATTTCCAGGTCTTATTGCTGCTTGAAAGAATTGTCTTTGCTTTTGCTTTTCGCCTTTTAATTTGTGCAATACAACCTTTCGTGCCTCTCCCTCTAATTTAAAATATTTGTGTCCTTGTGAGTGTTATAATGCTGATAAGCATTGTATTTCTTTAATGTTGATATTACAGTATCACAAAGCAAGCAAATCATCTTATCTTTAGCAGAAACCAGATACTATCACAATTCCCAATCCTCATTAAAAAATCTGTTTTCTTCCTTCAGCGTTCTCTTGGTTGTCTTTGACATGATGGGCTGTTAAGCAGACAGAACTAAAAAATACTGTCGAACTGTGCAACTATTCACAAATTCCACTTAAAATAGAAACACCACGCACCGTTGTTACAAAGCTGATAACAGACTAGCATACTCAACCCCTATAAACTCTCGGCAACCAGCAGTCATTAATTTAGCCCTGGTGGCTTACTAATGTTCTAATTGTGCCAGTCAATCTGGGAGTATTATGTTATTGAAACTTATTTTATTCTTTGGTATTTTAAATACGTTCATTTTAAAAATAACATAAAAGGATGAACAAAAATGTATTAATAAAAATAAAAGAATTTGCTCCGTAAAATTTGAATTCAGTCAAAAGGCCACACATAAGAACCTAGAAGGCTACAGGTTCCCCACCCCTGGTGTAGACGTATATTTTCATTTCTTTATACCTGGGAACTGCCAAACAGTTTCCCAGAACAAATGCACCATTTTACATTACCACCATCAGTGTATAAGAGTTTCAGTTTCTCCACATCCTTGGCAATACTTGTTATTGTCTGCCTTTTGATTATAGCTATCCTGGTGGTATTTTGTTGTGGTTGTGACTTGCGTTCCCTTAATAACTAACGATTTGAGCATATTTTCATGTGCTTATTGATTGTCTCTGGAGAAATCTCTATTCAGTTTCTTTATTCATTTTTTAATTGATTTGTCTTTTCATTGTTGAGGTTTTTTTTTTTTATGTATTGTGGATACTAGTCCCTTCTCAAATTTATGATTTGCAAATATTGTCTCCCATTCTGTGGGTCATCTTTCTACTTTCTTGATAGTGTTTTTTGAAGCACAAAAGTTTTTAATCTTGATAAAGTCCAATTTTTCTATTTTTTCTGTGGTTTTTTATATTCTTCATGTCGTATCTAAGAAACCATTACCTAATCCAAGTAGATGGAAGCTGCTTTGTTTTTCAATACCTTATGAAATAATGTAGTAGAAGAAGTAAAGAAATTACAAACATTCTCAATTTTGCCTTGATAGGCTTTGGAAGTGATAAAGCAGTTAAAGGAGAAAATGAAGATAGAACGTGCTCACATGAGGCTTCGGTTCATTCTTCCAGTGAATGAAGGGAAGAAGCTAAAAGAAAAGCTCAAGCCTCTGATCAAGGTTATAGAGAGTGAAGACTACAGTCAACAGTTAGAAATTGTAAGAGTAAAATATTCTTATTTCTTTGCTTCATGTTAACAAAATAGTTTATTCTCTAGTTATAAATGTGTAACAAACATTTAAAACATGTAAACAGATATTTCCAGAAATATCTTATCTAGAATTAGGTTAACATGTCAATGTCTAAGTATAGACTAAATTGTAGTTAAGCACACTTATGATTTTTTTTAGTAAAGTTATTCATGATAAAATTAGGTTAGTCATGTTCATTTTAGATGAGAGAATATATTTTACAGTGAGTTTTCTGTTATGGGGCCAAAAGAAATAAGACTAAAAGTTGATCAGCCTCATTTATCACAGAACATTTTAAAGAAGCAGCAAAAGCATTGTGTCTTTGGATCCTTGCCCCACAGCTTCTTTAACAAGTAAATGAGCTATAGAGGATTGTTAAATGTGGTGAGTATCCACTATAGATGTGAAACAACACACCTGACACTGTTTGAAGTTCTACAATCTCTTCAAAACTTTACACATGGTCTCCAAATAGGTCTTCAAGTTGCCTTTTTCTCCTTCATATGTGGAGGTGATTTCATTGAAGTATAAAATTTAATGCTCAATTTTAGGATGAAAAGGTATAGTTTTCTAGTCTAACCCCTTCATTCTACAGCTGAGGCATCTGAGTAAGTCTTTAAACAGGGAGATTAATGCCTTGTCCTAGGGGCCTACATGCATACTTCAGGACAGAAGTTGGCCAAGAACCCAATCTGCTACTCTACCCATCATCTGTCTGTTGCATCACAGGGCTGTAGCATTAGAGATACCTGGAAAGCATTGTTTGTCTTGAAGTTAAAGCTGAGTTTATTCTGTTATTCATCTTCATGTGGTAAACAGCTATGTTAAATGTTTCAGGTATGCCTGATCGACCCAGGCTGCTTCAGAGAAGTTGACGAGCTAATAAAAAAGGAAACAAAAGGCAAAGGTTCTTTGGAAGTGCTCAATTTGAAAGATGTGGAAGAAGGAGATGAGAAATTTGAATGATGTCCATCAGTCTCTCCAACTGTAAAACACTAAAGTGTTTTTTTGTTTCCAACAGCACTGTTTCATTTCTGTGATCTGCCAAATACTTGCTCAAACTATTCAACGTTTTCTAAGTATAATAACGTGGGATGATTTAGTTTTAATTCTAAATTGGAGTCTAAAACTTAAAGCAAAAATGAAAAATCTAAGATACAAAGTCCAGAGTAGCATTTTGCTGCTGTCTCATGCCTTTATAGCTTTTGAAAATGAAAATTATTTGAGGCAACTCTTGTGGATAAAAGTTAAATTTTATACAATATAGTAAGATTATTTGGAAGATACGTCTGTATGACAAAACAGGAGTATTTGCTGAAAAAGGAAACATGTCTTATTTCTAGTTAATGAAATTTGTGTATGGGGTAACTGTCATGTCGTAATGTAAAGCTTAGATGATGACTTCCTGATTATCTGAAAGGAAGATGTATAATGACTGTGTAGGAGTTAAATAATTTTCATTTAACATGCTGCCACAACTTAGATTATTCTTGGTAAAAAAAAAAAAATCATTTATTTCTAATTCATAAAGTTTATAATATATATTAATGTAGCTAAAATTATATGTAATCAATAAAACCACTCTTATTTTTATTAAACTATGGCTTGTGTTTCTAGCCAACTTCCTAACTCCCCTTGTTTTCTCTGCCTTTCTGGTGTGGTTGGGGAGTTGTTAGGAGTATTAAGTCAGTCATTATGCAGAGTGCTTAGAACAGGGCCTATTCTGATAAACACCTGATAAATCTTAATTAACATCTGGGATGTAATTGAATTTGATTATTTTAGTATTTGGATACTTAAATGGACAGGGTTTTAAAAATCTATCCTTAAAAGGGATACATTCTAGAATATAAACTCAAACATATAGATGTATTTGTAGACACCAATTTTTATTTTAAGTGAAAACATAGTTCTTGACTTGAACAGGTCCTGTTTGGTTTTATAAGCACTCAGAAGTCGCTGCTAATACAAATTCTCAGAAATGTCCCATTTACTTTTAAATAACTTCGAAATGTTTTCTCATACTCTTAGAGGCAATATTCTTGTTTGGTAACATGGGAATGAACCCTTTCCTGTTAATGCTGTTGTTTTGATACAATCCTTAAGAAGGCCCCTCACTGCTTCACTTTCACTTGTATAGTCTGTTGTTTTATAAAGATGATCTAAACCACAGTACCAGTTCCGCGGCCTGTTAAGGACTGGGCCACAGAGCTCCGCCCCCCACCACCGCCCCGCCCCAACCGTCATGGAAAAATTGTCTTCCACAAAACTGGTCCCTGGTGCCAAAAAGGTTGGGGACCCCTGATCTAAATTTGAAGTCCCAGGAAATAATTTTAACCAATGAAGTTTACACTATTTCAGTTTAAAGAGTTAAAGTGATGTTTCAGGTTGAAAGTCATAGTTACTAAAAATATTCAACAGCTGCATCTTGAGTAGCAAAAGATAAAACAGTTAATACAACATTGCCTTAAGTTTTTCTGACTCTTGATTTGTCATCTCTTCTAAAAACTGGAACTTCAAGAAATGTTAAATGTAGACCACATCTGAGTCATGCTTCTGAACCTATAAAAAATGTTTCACCTTCTATTAATCTCATTACTCAAAGTAGTTAAAATTATTGTTCATGATCATCTTCCCACTACCACTCTATAACAGATTATTTTAAGGATTGATTTATTTTGCTTTTTGAACGCAAGCTGGTAGTATGTATATTTGGTGAGAACGATGTTTCACAGTTAAGCCTCTTCTATCAGTGCAGCTCTTGTCTGTGAAGTTTCCCTTGTAGCCCATATACAAGTATTTGCTCCAGCCTCTGGAACTGTGCGCCACATTAAAATTCACTCAAAGGCCTTGATTTGTTCCACCTTGTATTAGAGTTGCTTAAATATTTCTTCCATGCTAGATTGTGAGCTCCTTAAGGGCAAGGGACTTAGCCATGTGTGTGTCTCCTACCATGCTTTGGACCTAGTGGATGTGGAATAAACATCTGTGAAGTGATAAACATGTACTATCTCATCGAGGGGCCATGCCATCAAAAGGAGGGGTGATGAAGAATTTGGCTAATGGCTTTTTCAAATCCATCGTTAAGCTGGGATAGTTTTTGTCAGCTAAGCCAGAGCTTCCCACCCTTCTTCATACCGTAAACAATCACACCCGTGATTTTAACCTACACACTACCCTCAAGCCCACAATACCCTAATGATTGTGGTAGTAATGAGGTTCCTTATTACCTTTATAGTTTTTTTGTATGCCTGCTCTTATATTATTGAAATGCAAGATATTATTTGAAAATGCTTTCTACTATTGAACAGGGGAATTGGTTGTGGATACAGAGTTTACCACTAACAGCATTTAATGGCTAAGATGTTAGCAGCCACTGATTTTCACCTCCATGTGTATTTATCCGCAATGGTACCTTCAAAATTAAAGGACTCTAAATATGATTTTATTGTATCACAGTTCTTCTCAGCTAAATATATCCTGAACTAAATCTTTATCAGCTTGGCTATTCCAACTTCTACCCAGGAACAATTTCACAACACTCTGTGCACACATAATTGAATTGCCCAGGAAGGCCCTTTCCAAATGCCCCAGGAAAAGTCATCAGTTTCACCAATTTCCTAATTGAGCCTACAGGTTTTCATTTTTCCCCTGGTGGAGAATGGAGGGAAATGGTTGTGAGATTGAAGAAAGCAAAGTCATTTTTACAGTGGAGAGGAGTGGGTTCTGTCTGCTATCCTCAGTACCAATCATAGATGTTCCTGCCTGGTGAGCCACTTGAAATGCCAGAAGATTCATGAGTGGCACTCCATTTCTGTGGCAGAAAAGTATAACAGACAAATGCAGCTGAGCTTGACCAAGAGAAAAGAGCCATGAGTTAATTCCTATCACATGAAGATAGAATGGATCAAGACTAGGAATAGCTTACATATAATAAAAGCAAAATAGTGTGTGGATTTAAAGTTAAAACTGCAGATTACACAAAGACTTTGGACATATACTGGCATGACAAAGGCATGATATCAAAGCAGTTCTTAAATGTGTGTATTGAAATAATTGTGTAACACTTGAGTGATAACTATCTGGTTTTATCAGAGACATAAAGTGATTGCTTGGGACTTCAATAATGTTTTTGAACATGCTACCATAATTACATTTCATAACAGTACAAAATGTTATTTTTAAAAACAACTGTCATCACTGCAGTTGGGATTTTGCTTTGAAGTACAAACAGTTAAAAGGACATTACTGCCATGTAAATAAAATTCTTATGAAATCAAAAACAGCTAGGTAGATCTTCTCCAGATATGAAGCGTATAACTTGAAATATTCATGAAACTCACTTTGGGGGCCCCTCTAAGGCAGACATCCTCCAGAGCAGTGGGAAATGCAGTACAAAGGGGCCACTATGACCTCAGTGAGGAAAGCTGAGCGAGCCTCTGGTACTAAGTAGCCAGGGATGGTGAAGGCAAACTGCTTACAAATATGACAAAGAATCCAAAGTCACAAGGGCAGTCAATTACAGGTAGTGCTTTACCATAAAGCTGCTTCTCACAGGGGCAACTCTTCATAGTGTGTTCTAGTGTCAAAAGGGTCAGAGGTTTATTTACAATAGTTCATCATCATCCCTGGAGAAGCCAGCTAGTCCTTAAAAGAATATTTATCCCCAAACTCAAAAATCTTTATTCTCAACAGTAGTCCCAAAGTTTATGTGAGCAGTTGCATAAAAATGTTCTATAAAATGTTTAGAAATATGGCAACACAGACCTCTCCCAACTCCCTGATAGGGCAACTTAGCTATCAAAATTGTAGTTGACATCAAGAGTCTGAAAGAAAACAGATAAAGGGTAAGGATTGCCCGAACAATTTGGAAAAAGGAGAAAATTATCTTACCAGATAGTAAATTTTTCTATAAAGCTACTAGTTTCAAAGGAATATAAAATAGCACAGAAGTTCAATCAGTATAACAGAGTCCAGAACAAGAACCAAAAACATAATATATGATATTATGCTCTGGTAGGAAGAATAATGCCCTTCCATCCAACCAATCAAAAAATGCCCATGCCCCTATCTCTGGAACCTGTGAATATGTTTCCTTACATGACAAAAGAATTTTGCAAATGGAATTAAGGTTACGTTAAAATAAGATTATCCTGGATTATCTAGGTGATCCCAATGTGATCACAAAATATAAACCATAAAAATGAAAGAAGAAAGCAGAACTGGTTCAGGGAGATGCAAACGGAAGATGCAGCAAGTGACAGTCCAAGCGTGACAGGTACTTGACCCACCATTGCCAGCACTGGAGACAGACGAATGGGACCGTGAGCCTAGGACTGCGGGCAGCCTCTAGAATCTGGGCAGGGCCCTCAGCTGACAGCCAGCAAGGAAATGGGGGCCTGGAAGGAACTGAATTCTGCCAACAACTAAATGAGTAAGAAAACATTGTCCCCTGGAGCCTCTAGGAGCCTAGCAAGAGTCCTACTGGAAGATAGTACATTTGTGCATTTTAAGCTACTAAATGTGGAGTAATTTGTTACAGCAGAAATAAAAACTATAGATTACAGATATTTCAATATGATGAGAAAAGAAGGGGTGATTTGCTAAATGACATATGTATATTTGGCTATATGTCTAACGAAGTTAGATTCCTACATCGTAACAGAGAAGAATTATATGTGAATTATAGAACTAAGTGTAAAAATAAAACTGTAAAAGTGTTAGTAGAAAATACCAGGAAATATTTAACCTAAGGGGTAAAAAAGACTTTCTTAAGGAAAACAGAAACCTAGAAGCTATAAAGGGAAATGCTAACAGATTCAACTACATAAAAAGGTGAAAATTTTGAATGACAAAAGACCCTTCAAGAAAGTCTAAAGAAATTGTGGCTGGGAGAAAATCCGTGCAACATGCAAGGGATGTAGAATGCCAACAAGATAAACTAATTAAAAGGTCTGATGATCACACCTAAGCACTACAAAAATGGATACATTTTTTTTTTTTAGAGGAAATCATTTTATTGAACAATAGGGACCCCAGTGGGGCCATAAAGGGCTGGGAATAGAGGAGCCTGTGAGCCTCAGGGTGTTGCTTGACTTTCTCCACATTGTTCCTGCTCCAGGTAGCAGGTCTCCCTGGATTTCTGTATTCTGTCTCCTGAGACCCCAGGCAGAAGGCTCCCCACTACTGTGGGTAGCCCTAATTTCTTCAACCAGTTTCAGGAAGCCTAATCCCTCTTGCTCTGCGCTGGTGGTTGCTGGCAGTGACTCAGAGCAGGAGCCCATCGGGTGGACAGGCCCCTGCCGGGCTGCTCTGCACCCTCTCTCCGTACCTGAGTCCTCGGCTAGCAGAGTGCGGACTTTTCTTTCTGCTGCCCCCGGAGGAACTCAAGAGGATTGAGTAGAGGACCATTAGTTGTTCTTCCAGGTCAGCTTTGGCCCTGGGATGTTCAAAGCAGCCTCAGGTTTTGAGGCTCCTCGTGCAGGGCCAGTTAGGATGGAAGGGGGCTCCTGGCTCAGGAAGGCTGAGGCAGATAGATGCCTGAGCTTGTGTCTCCAGTGGTGGAATGTGGAGGTCACTGCAGAAGAGGCCTTAGATGTTTC